CTGGGCTGTTGGAGGCTTATTGTCACCCTCCAGGAGCCACAAAGCTCCCAAGGCAGCCAGTGGGGTAGTGAGAGGGGTGAAACCCGGACCATGGGCACCCCAGCTTGGGCCTGTGGGTTCCCCGGCCACCTGCAGCTTGCTGACAGGAGCCCAGAGGAGCAGAGCAGCCCAAATAATGCCATTTTGCAGTCAAAAATAATGTCACTGAAGCCAAGTAAATGTCAACTTGCATTCTACATGTTTATGTGTTGTCCTGCCCACTTCTGGTGTGGAACAAATAATAACAGTTGTACGCTAGGCTGGCATGGCCCTTTCAGTCTCAGGCTCTACTGCGCTAGGCGGGAAGCCCAGCCTAGCTCCTGCCCAGTGGCCACCACAGCACCCAGGGTGGGAGAGGAGCCTGACCTCAGCTCTGTAGAGCATCGCCTTCCTCCTGAGATATCTAGCACAGTCCTACATCCAGACCATGCTGTAGCCCCAGGTCAAATAGCAATAGTATGAAATTGTATTTTGTTCAATTTGGGGTTTTTTACTATAAAAATATGTTAAGAAAATTTATTTCAGCAACTGAACTGGGGGAAACCACTAAATAACTATCCTGACCACCTTTCTGAACTACTCTGTTGTTAGATGGAACTGGTTTCTTTTGAGGACTATCTTTATTTTGACTACTTATTTAGAATATTTTTTTTGACAACTAAACTAGTATAAAAAATGCTGCCTTGACTCCAGACCCAACCTAGTAGCTTTGAAGCTGATCTGCTTTAGTTTTCTGGTACTGGAAACCAGTGATGGGCTTGCAGAGGGTGCTCAGCTGCATCCGTGTGGCACACGCACAGTATATCACACCTAGCTTTGACTCTTGACCATAATGATGCCTGAGCAGGGGCTGTGCCCCTTCCCTGCCTGCTTGCTTTTTTGGGGAATTTTCTCTTGGTAGGTGTATGAAGCCTTCTACAGGTAAATACTTCATAACCTTCACTAATCATAAAATAAATTAGGTAGAAACCCCCATAGGAACCCTCTAGTTAGGATCTAGAAATGCATCTTGCCAAGAGCCAGAGTTGACATCTCCTGAAGCAAAAGACTGGGTTTGGCCTCCTCAAAGGAGAACAAAATATGAAGATATCCCCACCAGTGCAGTCCTGAGTCTGTGCTGCACCTCTGCAGTGAAGCCTTCATGCTCAGCGGTGGGTTTGCTCTCAGCCTGGCGTTGATACCCAGAGGCTGGGATCTGATGGAGTAATCCCATGTGCACAACAGCACATACATGTTTTTTGTCATAAGGGTGACAACTGAATGCCTTTACAGCTGGGTTGAGCAGTATGTTGGAACTTGTCTGACTTGGCACTATGGGATGGGATTGCGCACTGTGGGAGAAGCTAGTATTGATCAATCTCAGTGGTTTTAGCTCCAGCTTCAGTTATGTGAAGGGCCATCTCAAGCAGGTTTCTTACCTGCCTCCTCACTCCTGTGTTGGGGCACTTGTGGGTGGAAGGGTAGGGGGTGCCACCTCCCTCCCTCTGTGTTCCCAGGATAGATAAGCAGTCCCCAGCTGACAGCCTGCTGACAGGGACACTGCCATCACCATCCTTACCATGAGGCTTCCCTGGAGAGCGTGTGGCAGCACAAACGACTGCACAGCAAGTGCACAAGACAGTCCCTCCATCGTGCACGTCACCATGTCATTTGTCACCTCCGCTACAGTGCAACTGCTGGTCTCTCACTGATCACATTTATTTTTAATGAAAGAAGATGGACTTAAAACCCCAAAGAAGTGATTACAGACAAGGGAAGACCAATGTGTGGCTCAGTCTTGCTGGACAACTTCATACTGCTAAAGCTAAACTGAATTTGATAGTGGTTTTGTTAAAAAAGTGTGGATGGGCCTCTGCTCCAAGAGACACGTGTCCACCAACCCAGGTAGTCACTAGCTATGACCTACCCTGTCTGCAAGGGGATACAAGCAAATTTTCCATGGCTGGACTGAGCAGTGGGGTGCACACTTGTGGTGGGCACAGTCGCAGGGAGGGATTTCATGAAGCTCCCAGTGCTGGCAGGGAGCCACCAGTACAAGCCTGGTGGTTGTGACAGCCTCCTGGAAAACAGGCCAGTACAGGTTGGCCACTGCCCATAAATCCAGTGAGGCCACTGTGGCATGTACAGTCTTAATGGGGGAAGGCAGGTATGGCTGGGAAGAATTTGAGGAAAGGAGAAGATACTGTGTAGACAAACAGGAACAAATAGATTTTTTCAAGGAAAGACCTACTTTTTAAACAAGAATAGGAAACCCTGGAGGAGGTGGGGATGCTGCTGCTGCTTCAACCTTTGCTTCCATGAGCAAGGCAGGGAACTGCAAAGTAGTTGCCAAGCAAACCCCAGGGAGTATGGGTCCAAGATACATGGCAGCTACAGAGGCATCATGTCAGTCCCAAGGCTTTGTCCTCCTGGTCCTGAAAACCCACAGGGTTGCTGTGCCTTAATCTAGTATCATATAAATCAGACATAGGTCCCATCAATTCAGTAGATGCACATTACTGCTGTCTGTACCTCATTGCTCAATCTCTCATATGCCATTTCACAAGGAACCCCCAACTCTTTGGTTCAGGTCTCCTTTTCCACACATTTTAAGGAAGGTGAATTAACCTGAACTTGTTAATATGCCAACAAGTTGAAACATTTACAGGTAAAACATAAAGCTCAGGTTGATAATGACAACTGGAAATGTTACTAGAGCAAAATGTAGCATTTAGAAACAAAACAGCTAGGGATGCACACAAAGCTATTGAGCTGGTTTGATGGGGAGCATTGATTTTCCTCTACAGTCAGTTGCTGCCACACAGGTTCGTAAATACTCCCTGCTCTCACTTTGTTCAAAAGTTAAAAATGGCGTGCAGTACTGGAGAAAGGGTTGATGAAAAAATAGCTCTTTTTGTCTTTCCTTTTATCAGCAACACAGAGAGAATAAATTATAAGGGGAAAAGAAGAAACAAACACATATCTGCCAAGATGAAGTTCATGCTTTTTGCCAGTGGGCTGACCAGAGAGTGTGCCATCTTTCTTGGAGGAATCACAACAACTGCAGTGAAAATTACAACTGAAACAACTCTGATGCCAGGAAATCCTAAATTTTCCCATATTAAATGACCAGAGAAGATTTTTTGCTCACTGAAGAATATTAGCCTCTTCCCCAAAGAGAGCACAGGAGTAAAGAGTGCAAAGAGCTGCCCTTGAGTGACAGGACTATAAAACTCTCTCTCAAGAGCAATGGAAACAAAACTACTTCAGGTAGTATCAGAAGATCCCTCCTTGTTTCTTACTGGGTTCAGTCAAACAGAATTAAATTAGTATTTTTTCCTTACTCAGGGCTGTGCATCTTGTAGATAAAGGAAGAAAAATGTACAGCTGTCCACCTCTGGCAGCTTGCATCGTCGATGCTCTGTGCACAGGGGCTGTAGAAAACCACCTTCTAGAGTGAGGTGACAACACATCCATGCAGGAATCAGGCCCTATTTTTGTTGAACTTACTTTTTTTCTTTCAGCTAGGGAAGATCCAACATCAACATTTCTGTCATAGCTGCTGCACAAGGAAATAAGTGATTTCCTGTCTCAGCATGTTCCATCACTCAGCATTTTATTTTTGTGCTAAACCACAACCAGGCACATCACCCCACCCTGTGCTGGGGCACTCCGCACTGTCCCCTGCCACCAGAAAGGCACTGGGAAAACATCACGGAGGCAAAATACGCCAACAATGCCCACTCAGCACTTGTGACAAACACCTTCCACCAGAAACATGCTGCCGAGGCAGAGTTTTCCGGACTTTTGCAGTAGACAAGGGCTCTTTTTACAGCATAAGCTTCTTTCTCCCAGAGCTGTCAACCTAAATGGGGACAAAAAATCCAATTCTTGGCACAACCTTCAGTCTGAAATTGCTCTGGAACCCAGAAGATAATGAAACCCTCCATCTGTCTGTGCAAGTAATGGAGAAAAAACCCCAAACATTGACAAACCTCTTATTGCCTTTCATTTCCTTAGTGATAATTCTTAAAATAAGACAAAAGAGCTAACCTGCATCCTAAAAGATGTAGGTTCTGCTTGGGTGAGGTGCTGCTGATGTCCAGGAGAGGGATATCAGCAAGGGCATTTGGGTGTTTTACCCTAACATAGAAATTTAGAAATGGCACTGCCAGCTGAATGAAAAAATCAGAGGCACCCCCTGCTCCCTTGCAAGCTTTTGCACAAGCTCTGGCCCAAACCAATGTGCCCTTGCACCGGCTGGTGCAGGAGGCAGCAGCTGGGCTCAATGTGACCCTGTCTGCCAAAAGCAGCTCTTGCAGCAGCAAAATCACTAGAGACTTTGCAGCAGCGTCGGGCAGTTCTGGGGGCTCTGCTGCCTCCAGCCCTGACTCCCCACAGGCTCCTGGACAATCTTCTTCATTGCCAGTGTCTGAGATGAGTCCCATGGCAAGGAGTGATTTTTTTAACATGGTAGTTGAAATAAACCACGTTTTAGTCACGCCCAGCTGAAAGGTTTTGCTGGATCCAAACTGACATGTTCTGTGTCTGATCAGGTTTGAATCTATTTTCATTATTAAATAAAGCAAATTTCAGTGTGAAACACGGTTTCAAAATGAAAAACAAAACACAGTATTTTAATTGAAAACATGTAAAAATAAAATTTTTATACATTTCTATTTTTAATATATAACATATTAATAAAAATATTTCATATCTTTTCCTTCTTTGTATATATTGTACCACTACTTTAATCCAAAAGATACTTTCTGAATTACATACCATTTTTGATGAACACAGGAGAGGTTTGGGGGAAATATGCGATCTATCAGGAAGAAGAAGAAGAAGAAAGAAAAAAAAGACAACTCAAACCCAAACCTTTTTCCAGTTCTGGGATTTTGCTTTCATTTGCAGTCACTAGTAGAGCTGTTGGCCCTTCTGAACACACCTGGACTGAAATTCAATCCAGTCTTGAGGTCAATATGAATATCAGCATTGCCTGGATGGAGAAGTCCTACTTGAGAGGTACATGATCTATAGACTTGTGCTGGTTCATTGCGCAGGGCTGAATGTGACCTTTAGATTGCTCCTTCAGCTCATCTGAGACTTTGTACATTATCTTTGGGACATTAAGCACGGCAGGATGAGGTCTCCAGGGAAATTCTGCAGTGTTGCCAGCACTCTGATGGCTGGTCCCTTGGGATGCAATGTACTTCTGTCTCCAGTTTCTGTAGTCATATGATTATGTGAGGATCTCGGTTTTCACGACAATGAAAGCAGGTTTCTAGCTGTTGAGACTGCAGGGGAAAGCTGGCATATGTCACCTCCTAAAGGTAAGAGATCAGAAGACAAATGAAAAGGAATCTCAGCTGTATCAAGAGCCTGATTTTTACGCTAACTGCGTGGCTTAAAACCAGCACGGTTTTGAGGACCAACTATTAAATTTTGAATACTCAGAATAAGAAATAATATAATGAAATTCTTGGAGAGAAAAAATTGGTCCTTGCTTTTTCCTTCTTCTCTCCCTGCTTTTCTTCCTTCTTGTCTAAGGCTCTAGCCTGTTGATGCTTCTCAGTCCAGAGATGCCATTGGAGGAGGATGTTGTTAACCAGTCAGACGGAGTGTGAGTACTGGGAATTTTCCAGGGTTACAAAATGTTTTCCTTGCATCTGCCAAAGCTAACGGCAGCAGTCAGTGAACACGTGCCACTGGAAAATCACAAGCAGGCTGGCTGCCAAGCATGCAGAGCTCTTTGGACAGAAGCATGTCAGGGTCTTGTGAGTGTGAAAGGACATTGCCGTGTCTGAGCTGACAAGGCAGCACTCCAGGCTGGCCTCGGGCATGTGCCAGCCCACAGTCGCGTTCCCAGCCGGGAGGGCTGGGGCTGAGCCAGGAGCTGCCTGCAGATCTGCGCCGCGAGCTGCTGAGCTTCGCGTCGAAGCAAGCCTTGTGCGAGGACTGTCCGCTTGCCGTCAGAAGAGCACGATTATTTTTAATGGAACGGTTTAAGTGGAAGTAAAGTGGTCAGCATGGAATAAACAATCTCAGCTAATGGCTTGCTGACATTCAATCACAGTTCTGCAGGGACTTCTCTAGCACCCCTTGAATCTCGTGCCAAGCCATTAAACCCCTCTGACTTGGCAATGGGCATTTGCCAAAAAGAGACTAAAAAGAAAGCTACCGAGGAATTGATCTACCGTGAGCATGTGAAGAGGGTCACCAGTGTGATGTAGGGAATTTTAAATTTATAGTGCCTACATATGTCCATACTAGATCAGACCTGGAGCCTGTCTGACACTATAGTCCGTTCTCTGGCAGTGCCCCAAACCAGGGGAAAGATACCTAAAACTAGGGAAGTGTTTCTCCAAGCCTCAAATGAGTTGTGACACATGGGATTTGATGAGAGAGTCCATTCACCAGTGGCTCTGTAGCAAAAAAGGAGATCTTTTGTACAACTCAGTGCATTTCATGGCTGTCATAATGTCTCATCCAGAGAAAATCTGGTGGGAAAGGATGAATCCATGTAACTTAGAGAGATCATAATTTTTCATAGAATCATAGAATGGTTTGAATTGGAGGGCATCTTTAAAGATCATCTAGTCCAACTCCTCTGCCATGTGCAGAGACATTTTTCACTAGATTAGGTTGCTCAAAGCCTCATCCAACCTGACCTTGAACACTGGGCAACCTGTTCCGGTGTTTCACCACCCTCATTGTAAAAATTTCTTCCTTGTATCCAGTTTTGGTAGTACCAGCCCAGGTGAGAACCTTATCTTATGTGTACAGAGAAGAGTGGAGTATTCCCACAGGAACACACACCTCCATGTACGATTGCTCTCATTTGGGTTGATTTCTACCTTCATGCTTTTGCACTGAAGTCAAATTCTTCAGTTAAAGCTATCTATTTCCTTGTGAGATGCTCAATAGCATCCATTTTTTAGGATATGACTTCCAGGGAGTTATTCTTGATTTATATCAACTTAATGAAAAAATCAAATGAAGCTCCATCTTACAGAAGGTTTTGTCGAAACACTTGGGCCCTAAATTCTGCCTTCCATTAACAATATGCATTTTAATCAGGTGCTTGAAATTTATAGCTCAATGTAGATTATGTGCGCATATGTTATGCGCCAAGTCTATATATACCTGTTTGAAGGAGCTCCAAAAAATACTCAAACCCTCTCTCTTGGATGTTAACAGGAAAGCATGGAGAAGGTAGAATTTTTAGGCACTACGCATAGCCCAGAATTTGGTGCATGCTCAGTGCAGAAGGGATGAAGGGAGGAAATAACAGTGGATTTACACCTTTGCAGAACCAGCCAAGCTAGGACAGTCTTGTTGCCCATGCTGCCCATGGCCCTCAGAGGTTGTTCCAGCTTTATGTTTCACTAATTCACACTATTGAAATGCTGCCTGGGGCCGACAGGCTACCAGCAAGACCGATTAAACCAACTACTGGAAAAATCCCCAGGAAGCTAGTCAAAACATAGCATTCCCAGCGCTGAAACACAAGCTGTATTAGTTCCTAGAACTGACTCCTGGGTTTGGTTGTTTTAGATTATATGTTCATACACACACATGTGCACAGCAGCCCATGACCATGAGATGAGAGCACAACAGTAATCTGTTACATCACGGCAGAGCTGGAGGCTTTAAAGGGCTGTACACAGGTAAGGCACGTCTTACTGGCTGTGCTCTACTGACATGCACATATTTGCTGAAGGACACATTGCAATGTCAGTGACACCAGTATAAATAAATGACCCCAGAGCAGCCACATAATTAGGCCACCTAGACTTTCTTTCTAAGCTTTCTGTTCTTCAAAATTTTCTTCAAGTAAAGTGCTCATTTGCATATGTGATGAGTGGCTCATGAAATGGCTTGTGCAGCAGGATGCTTACAATAAAATGGGTTTGGAGCAGTATTATTATTCCTCTGCCTGGCTTCTTGCCAGCCTCCTGCTGCCTTCTATCTCCCATCACAGGAAGCTGCAAAAATTCCCCTGGAATGGATTAACAGGAGAGAGATCCTGTGAAAAACGGAGGCGGTATGAAGGAGGGAGGTGATGGCTGAAGGGAGAAATCAGGCTTGCAAGGACTGACACAAGCAGTTAAGCGCCTGGAGAGGTGGGAGAGCAATGAGAGTCACTGCAACAGGGAACGAGAAGGAAATCCCAGGCAACTTCTTCTCTCTTTACGGATGCTCCAGTCCTCCCACAAAAATGCTGCTTCTATATGAAAAAATTCAAGAGTGGCAAGGAGAGCCACCTGCCCTGGAATGCTGTCAGTCAGCAAACTGGTGAAACGCTCCAGGGCATGAATTGGACGCATGGACATGCTTCCAAACAATTCCTGGGCACAGTTCAGAAGTGAGGATGGTTCAGAGAAGGTTCCCAACAAGCCATACAGCCACCGTGGTTTGGAGGCTGAGGCTTTATGAGCAGAGAGTCAGATAACACCGTGTCAGCTGGCCTCCATGTCTGGGAAGGTCCCCAGACACTTCTAATTTACTTCAACTGAAGCATCTTGGGAAACTTTTCTTCTGTATTTTATACTACATTTTACACTGCATTTATACTACCACTCACCACATTGTTAAGGCTTTTATAAGAATACTTTTTAAAGATTAATGTAGAGAAATTCTTAAAGCAAATCTTAAACCTGATTTTTAAAAGTCTTTCTGTGAGGGCCAGTTTTTCACAGCGCAAGTATTTGAAGGTCAGATAGCCTATAGGAGATCCATTTATTCCGGTTTCTCTGTGATATTGATTTCCTAGGATAATGTGGCAACATTGCAACATCTTATTTCTCAACTGGTATCCTGATTTGCTCCACTTTCTGCCAAAAGTTCTGCTCCTGTTGAAGCCCACAGTGAGACTGGCAGGTACCAGCAGTGGCCAAATTTATTCCCTAACTCGACACAGCAAGAAAAGGCCAGGGGTCACCGTGCACCTACTCGATTTGTTTCTGCTAAATGTCAAGTGCTGATGCAGTCTTGGAGGAAAGACGTTAAACATATAGCTACCAAATTACAGTGCAAGAGTTTGGTTTTTCTATGTGAAGTTGGACTTTGACAAACTCTTGGTTCATACCAAAAAGAGAGCTCACCCTTGTATTTGGAAGGCTATGAACTTTTGGACTAAGGACTTATAAACTATTTTATTTCACTGAGTAGCATTTGCATTTAATAACATTAAGAAAGGCTTTTTTTATCTACATAGGCTGCTTGAGACTTGTTTGGTTTGTGTTTTGTTTTCTAGAAAATTTAATCCAGTCAGATAATAATTGAATTAACAACATATTAACACTTTAATTTTATTATGCCCTCTATTCCAGTTTTTACTTTACTTCCTATTGGCTTTTGCATTTTATTTAATCCATATGTATTTTTTCAGTTTGTGATCTAAAAGATAACAGTCTACCCAGTGCATTTAATTGCTTCCAAATTCCTAACAGACTCTTTAAGAATATCTATTGTGTCTCATTTGGCAGACAAATAATACTTTCTTGACCATCTGTATTTGCATACAGTTATTCTACCCAAGTACACAAGACTTCCTTTCTCACCATTTAGAATGAGAAATATTTGTACTGTTGAATAGATTAATTTTTATTTTGTGGCCTGATGTCCATGACCTGGATTTAAGTTATAAACCAGTCATGTGTCAGGGCTCATTATCCACTGATTGCATAAGCTATTGTTACCAGGATAAATTTAGAATTCATCTGAAAGTCACAATCATTTGACCAGCTCTACAATTAAGGTCAGCCAACATCTACTGTCTCTAAGTTCATGTATATTAAAGTTTGCTGCCAGAATATCTTCTGAGTTTTAGCAGCCTTGGTTTGTGTTATAATCAGAAATATCTCATTTCAGATTCAAATTACTTTGCATAGTTAGCTCACTAACTCAAGTGTGTTGGCATGTCTTTTAAAGACTAGCATATTCTAAATATGTGCATAGACAATAAAGTAGCAAGATCTGAAATAATTACTATTTATATCCTTCCATTATTTTCTCAAAAACCAGTATTTTATACTTGGATATTGTTTTTCAAGATGGTTAAGCTGACTCCTAAAATGTTTTTGTTTTTTCAAGTCCAATAATGCTTCAGGACTATTTCCATCTGGTAGTAATAGTCCTGTTTATTCTGGAACATCTTGGTTTATATTATGCCTCTGTGTCACAAAATCTATTGAAATCATGCAAAACACTGATCTCTCTGCCAAAGTCAATAAAATTACTACTTGTTGAAGAAAACAGTAAACAACAGAACTTCATAATGATGTCATTAACACATCCTTTGTCAACAGTTGGGAAATCTGGAACCTTCAAGAAAAATAAAGAAGAAAAAAAAAAGTAATGTATTCATCTTAGTTCTATAATTAATTATACATAAACTTCTAATGAGGTTTGGTTAGAAATGCAAACACTTTTTATAGCAGCATTAGCTGCACAGCAGCATAACAGCAGTAGTTCAGCATGCAGAGTGTATGCTGCATTTTATCCATCCATCAGATAAACAGACACATTTTAAAGCTTCTTTAATTCTAAGAGTCAGAATGCTACAACGGGCCCTTTGCAACTGGTATATAGAACTGAGCTGATCTTCAGTCCAGTTCA